GCTATTACCAGGTGAACTACGACCTAGACAACTGGAAGAGGATTCAGGCTCAGCTGCAGAACGACCTGACGGTGGGTATCTGCCACCGCGACCCCAGCCCCTGGCCCAGGCCCAGCCCAAGGTCACGGCCTGAGGTCACACCCGTGTTGCTCCTTCCAGGTCATCCCGGTCCTCAATCGGGCGCAAGTCATCCATGACGCCTTTGACCTGGCCAGGTGAGTGTCGTCACCTTCCTCCTCGGCCCCAGACGGGCTCTGCCGGGAAGGCCTTGTGCCGTGAGCAAGTGCGTGTCCATAATGAGAAACCCTGAGTCTGATAGGGCCAGGGATCAAATCTGCAACTGAGCTATGTGCCTGGACCAGAATTGAACCCAGGACCCTTCAGTCCCAGGGCCAATGCTCTATCCACTAAGCCACACCGGCCAGGGCCTCATGTTTGAAATGGGGACAATAAGCTAGGGATTGTGACTGGCAATGGGTGAGGGCAGGGCCTGGCTCGCCTTGTTTATGGAACCGCCCAGCACCCACATTCCCCACCCCAGCGAACACTCGAGCTGGCTCACCTGGGGCTCTGGGACCTCAGGCTCCAGGGGGCAGCTGGGTTCCCAGAGAGGAGTAACTGGGGGTGCTAACTTGAGCCCCTCTGTTTGATCCGCAGTGCCCGCCAGGTCAGTGTCACCCTGGCGCTGGACAACACCCTCTTCCTGATCGACGAGAAAGAATACCTGCCCTGGCAGGCCGCCGTGAGCAGCCTGAGCTACTTCAAGCTCATGTTCGAGGGCTCCGAGGTCTACGGCTCCATGCAGGTACGGAGGGCGGGCCAGGCTGGCGGGGCCTGACATTGCGCCATAGGAAGTCCATGCAAGTATCCCCCGGGGTGGTGAAAGCCTCCAGGCTGACCCGGCCCAGGGCCTTGGTGAGCGCAGGAGGGATCGGGAGTGAGGGCCACAGGCACTGAGGAGGTGGGCAGGTAGAGAGCGGCCAGGCAAGGACCCAGACTTCCAGCGAAGTTGGCGGGTTTGGGTGTTAGCACTTTCAAAAGAGGCTACTGTGTTGGGGTGCCGGACGCCTGTCTTCTACCTGCTACGTGGCCTTGGGGACCCCGCCTGAGCCCAGAGAAGCCCTCTGTGAAACGTCTACCTGGCTAGCCAGCCCACGGGGCAGAAGGGGAGGGAGATACAGATGTTAACAGCTTTAAAGCAGGAGACTCCCACG